AAGACCTGTGATGGTGGTCCAGGTGTTATACTGGAGGGAGCAGTTGCTGGAGGATGGAGTTGTGAAGGTGGCTGGTCTGTCCAACTAGCTTTCTGCAGCTGATATGCTTCAGGATGTTGGCCATTTCCAGACAGAGGTTGCATCACCGGCAAAGAATCAGTGCTTTACTCACTAACTTTTGAGTTGTCATTCATATTTGGACTCTTGTACCTGTTTATGTCCCCAGATCTGAATGCAGCCTCATTTTGTACCCAAAGTTACAAAGTTAAGCCGTGAACCAGAGTTTGTCATAATTCTAACTTCCACTAGTCCATAAAGAAATGATGGACCATCGTTGTTTGAAAAAAAGAATATTATGAGACTTGTGCCATCAACAACGGCAAGTAAAAACTTAATCTCAATATATATTATATTTTCATCTCTGGAAATGTTTGTCTTACCTTTGGCTGGAGATGTTGGTGAGTGTGGTGGGCTGATTAGCAGTTGCATATTTGCTGGAAGGAAAGGTCGTTTCTGTCTCCTCAGTTGCATGCTGCCCTGCAGAACCATTACATGGCTGTAGAAAAGTAGAAACAACATGATAAGCATCTTGATTCTTGAGATTTAGTTTTTAATCATTTTAACACAGAACCAACACCTTACATTGACAATTTTCAAATCTTGAAGAGGCACGTTCTGACGTCCTGTAGCAGAGCTTTCTGTACCGGAGCCGTTCGCAGTATTTGGATTGTTCTTTCTCTTTTTCTTTTGGCTTTGCCTCAGGCGGTCTCGTAATTTCTTCCTTTGCTTGCTGTTTATGAAAAAAGAAAAGAAACTGAGAACAAACCAAAATCCAGTAACACAGTATTCCCTTTAAATATGAACAATCACACTTCAAGAATGATCTAAAAATGAGTAATAATGTCTTAAAATAAGAGTATTTAACCTTCATTTGGTTAGATAAATACAATGAACCGCCAATGGAACCACTATTTCACCCTTAAAGTAAGAAAGCGGACCCAGCTGACATCAGCTCATGTTGATCTATTTATAGAAATGACCAAAACACAGTCACATGGTGTTTCATCCACACGCCTTTCAAATGGGGCTTTAGAATTCTTAAAACATGTTTCAAAATTATTTTTCATAGAATACTTTTTGTATTTGATGAGTGAAAGAATCGGATAAAGAAGACCTGGTTTGTTCTGAGACCTCTGGAGAGTTTTTTTTTCAAGCAATTCTTCATAAAATGAAGAACATCATAGTATCCTCTTCATCTGACTGCCATAAAGCAACAGTAATCGATCCATATATTTACTTACACTCACCGGCCACTTTATTAGGTACACCTGTCCAACTGCTCGTTAACACTTAAT